TGTATGTATGAGTTGGAGGGAACCTTATAGGCCTTCTAGATAACCTTCTGCCGTAGATGTTACGCATATCCATTTTTCCAAGCTGAAACAATAAGCTGAAAGAATGCAAGCTCTATAAAAGCAAACACTGCACCCCCCCCCCCAAAAAAATACACAATACAGCGAAACTTGACAGTTCTGCTGCCATATGGCAGAAATGTAAACCATGTATCCTGCATATTTTAAAAAATGTGTTTATTACTTCATGACAGACATTGTGTTTTGGCTGAATATAGCACAAGTACAAAACATATCCATATAGACCAATGCCAGTGCACTGCTGAGAGATGAGGCACAGTGTTACCTGAAAACTGATAGAAAAACAAAGACTTTTGGTGGTTAGCTGTTTAAAATGGAATCATATTGGGGTATTACCCATAAATACCAGCAAATAACTTTAGAACATCTCGCACTTAAAGCACTCAAAGAACACTAAGAAAAACACTGTGTTTTATAATGTATATTTGAAACAATATAAGCTACTGTCATAAAAAATGTAATTCTGATATTTATGCCAGTGATATTTGCTCAGCCATCAGAATTTCCCAATATACTTTCCCTGTATGGCATTCCATAATATATTTACACTAATAACTTTATCAAAGAGGGAGATAAATTTAGTATATATGAAGAAATATAGATCAGACCTTGGGAATGTAAAAGAATGAGCCAGCTGTTAAGAAAAGACTACTCAGACCTGAGAAAGAGGAAAGTGCGAGAAAGAAACTCAAAATACAAGCTTTCAAGATTCTATTATTCTATCCGGCTACAATAAAGAACACTCCTGGAATCCCTACTGTGCCTGTTTCGTGACTGGCCTACTTGGAAGAACCTCATTACTCTCTTATCACAAAGGCATCAGACCTTGCTTTTAGAACTGAATAAGGCAACATATCCTCAAGATTCTCTGCTGTCTGCAGAACAAGTTGGTGAGGTGTTACTACAGCAGTTGGACATACAAACACCAAATCTGCACAATGCCCTGATACAACTAGCTAAGCGATTGGATCGAGGCCTACCTCAGCTGGGAGGAGCTCCACAATTGCTTTTTGACCATTATTGCCCACAAATCTACTGGAGAAGTTGGGGGGGGTGCTCAAGACCAATTCTTATTTCACAACACAATTTGTGATGAAGCCATGCTGGTTCCTGTTAATTGTAGCATGCTTATCAAAATGCTCACAAACATGCTGCGTGATAATCTGTATGAAGACATGTCCTGTCTCTTCCCAGGAGTCCTTTGTGAAAGCAGCATAGGCCACTGACAAGGGAACCCATCTTGATGACATCATCTGCAGTCAGTTGTAGACTTCAAGGATCCTGCTTTCTCTTCTTGCCCCATGACCAGTAACTGGAAGGATTAATTAAAAAATCTACCTGTGCTTCCAGTTCCTTCACTTTCCTGCTCAAAGCCTCATAGTCTCCAGAGATTCTTTCAAAGTCTCTTCTGGCCATGTAATTCATCCCAATATGAATCAAGTGGAAAGGATAGTTGTCAGTAAGTTTGAACAGCCTTGGTAACCTTCCATCACATCCTGTATATGGGGACCTGGAAGACAACATAGCTCCTACAGTGTCATATCAGGTCCGCATACTGCTGCCTCAGTTCCCCTTAGTAGGGAACCACCCATCATCACAACACACCTCTTCTTTCTCAGTGAGGGTCTTGTATTTCTTCAAATTATAACAGTCTTACAGTATTCTGGGCCATAGTTTGCTCAGTTGGCTGTTGATCATCCTCTAGAGGGAGGACCTGGTACCTGTTCCTGCCACCAGGTGATTTCTGATTTTCTTGCTTTTTTAGATTATATTATTCCACGTTTGCCTTGGCCAATTTTCCCCCCTTGGAATTCTCTTCACTTTTCTGTCCCTCCTGATAACTTCAGCAGTCCTATCGAGCAACCTCTCATCTTCCCAAATGCTTTTTAGTATAGCAGTGTTCTCCTCAAGTCCTTTCATTTTCTCTTCCAATAAGGGAAAAAAGCTTACACTTGTAGTTTGGGTCCTCTTCAGGCAGAAAGATGAACACTGCACTCATTTTACACATCACTGTCTATGGTGTTTGGAACCTTCCCTGTCAACTTCCCTACCCAAACTTCCATGTAAATCCTTCTTATTTATTTGCTTTGGTTGTGAGCTCCCAGAAGCTCTGAGTGGAGACTATCTTGGACTGAAAGTAGATTTAAAAAAAACCTATGTACTAGGAGAAAAAGAAAGTGTGTAATAGTAGTAGTAATGACATGCCTTCTCCTTGTCTGCTCTCCCTGTTCGCTTGTTCAGCGAGTTTGCCCTCCGAAAACTATGGTGGTTTCAAAATATGCAAAAATAAGTGCCAGAGTTACAATCTGTCCTCTTTCTATTCTTATCTGTATCACAGTTAAAATCCCTCTCCTTTTTTTTTTTTTTTAATAAAGTTCATTTATCTTTTCCGTAATAGTTCTCAAGGGTCCTTCATTTTAGGCAGTTACAGATTACTACATCCAGGATTTCTGGATATATGCAATGTATGTTTTTATAAATGCTGCTGTCATCAGTCTAAAATACAAACAAAAGAGAATAAGCAAGCCCATTTTAAATTCATGCTTATACTAACAGAGGCAATTGCATATAGTTAGCATGATTAAGAGAAAAATGTTTCCATTACTGATAATGGAAAATATCATTTATTTTTATTAAAAAATTCATTCAAAAACAAACGAATATTGAAACAAAAGTCTTCCTAAACCAAGAAATCAGAAGCCTTGAAGCGCCTGTGCAGTTGTAGTCAGGGAGCTCAAAGCTTGCAACTTGCCCTTCTTAACATTTTCACAGAACTGACCAAAGATCAGCATCAAGGCAAATGAAGTGGGAATTTCAGTACTTCTTTTCCTCCCTAAGAGGTGATCAACATTATCAGATTATATACATTTACTCTGGAAACTGACAATTCTAATCATGATAAAACATTATAACCCTGGGCAGTAAGGCCCTTAGTGGGTGTGGGAATTTTGCTCACATCTAGCTTTGGCACTCACATTATAGTTCTCCTTTTCACGGAAATACCCATGCTCTCAAATATTTGGGCAATTATTCAGTTATTTTGAGTAATTAAGTAATGTTAAGGATACAAGATCTTTGTAGGGATATACA